TCCCCAAATTTCCCATGGCGGCTCTGGCGTCGTCGCTGATCCGGCAGCGGCGGGGGGGACCCCGCGAGGGCGGCGCGCCGCGCGCCCCCGGCCCCGCGCGCGCCCCCGGCGCCCCCCGGCCGCCCTCGCTGTGCCAGCGGCAGCTGCGCCGCCTCGTGGCCAAAGTGCGCAACTGCGGCGGGCGGCGCAGAGCCCGCGAGAAACCGCCCGGTGAGCGCGGGGGGTTGGGGAAATTGGGGAAATTTGGGGGGAAATTTCGGGAAAAATTGGGGAAAAATTGGGGATTTTTAGGGATTTTTTTGGGGATTTTTTTGGGATTTTTTGCGATTTTTTTGGGGATTTTTTGGGGGATTTTTTTGGATTTTATTGGGATTTTTGGGGGATTTTTTGGGGATTTTTTTGGGATTTTTTAGGGATTTTTTTGGGGATTTTTTCTGGGATTTTGGGGGATTTTTTTGGGGATTTTTTTGGGGATTTTTTTGGGAATTTTTTGCGATTTTTTGGGATTTTTTTGTGGAATTTATTGGGATTTTTTTGGGAATTTATTGGGGATTTTTTGGTGGAATTTATTGGGAAGTTTTCAGGATTTTTTGAGAATTTTTTGGGGAAATTTTCGGTAATTTTGGAGGATTTTTTTGAGAATTTATTGGGAAGTTTTTAGGGATTTTTTCTGGTAATTTATTGGGGAATTTTCAGGAATTTTTGGGGGAATTCTTGGGGATTTTTGGGGGATTTTTTGGGGAGATTTTTTGGGGATTTTTTGGGGAGGGAATTAATTGGGAATTTTACAGTATTTTTGGGGATTTTTGGGGAATTTTTGGGGGGATTTTTGGGGGATTTTTTGGGAATTTATTGGGAATTTTTTGGTAATTTTTTTGGATTTTTGGGGAATTGTTTTTGGGAACTTTTGGGGATTTTTGGGGGATTTTTTGGGGAATTTATTGGGAATTTTTCGGTAATTTTTGGGGATTTTTTGGGGAAATTTTTTTGGGATTTTTTGGGGATTTTTTTGGGAATTTTTCGGTAATTTTTTGGGATTTTTGGGGAATTTTTTTGGGGAACTTTTGGGGATTTTTTGGGGATTTTTTTGGGGGAAAATTGATTGGGAATTTTTCAGGATTTTTGGGGAATTTTTTGGGATTTTTTGGGGAATTTTTTGAGAAATTTTTGGGATTTTTTGGGGGTTTTTTTTTAGGGAATTTTTTGAGGATTTTTTGGGGTACTTTTTAGGAATTTTTGCTATTTTTTTGGGATTTTTTAGGGTTTTTTTTGGGAATTTATTGGGAATTTTTCGGGAGTTTTTTGGGAATTTTGGGGGAATTTATTGGGAATTTTTTTGGGATTTTTTGGGGGAATTTTTGGGATTTTTTTCGGAGTTTTTGGGGATTCTTTTGGAGTTTTTTCGGAATTTTTTGGGGGATTTTTTGGGGATTTTTTGGGTGCTTTTAAGGGATTTTTTCGGAATTTTTTGGGGATTTTTTCGGGCTTTTTTGGGTTTCTTGATGGGTTTTTTTAAAGCTTAGGGGAAGTTTGGGGGCATTTTGGGGGATTTTGGGAGACAACAATTTCTCCATTTTGGGGTGAATTTCGGTGTTTTCGGGGATAATTTCTCTATTCTGGGGACAATAATTTCTGTATTTTCGGGGATAATTTCTCCATTTTTGGGACAATAATTTCTGCATTTTCGGGACAATAATATCTGTATTTTTGGGGATAATTACTCTATTTTTGGGACAATAATTTCTCCATTTTCGGGACAATAACCTCTCCCACTCTGGGACCGATCGCCTCTCCGTTTTGGGGATAATTTCTCTATTTTTGGGGATAATTTCTCTATTTTTGGGGATAATTTCTCTATTTTTGGGACACTAATTTCTGCATTTTTGGGGGTAATTTCTGCATTTTCGGGACAATGACCTCTCCCACTCCGGGGACGATTGCCTCTCCATTTTGGGGATAATTTCTCTATTTTTAGGACAATAATTTCTGCATTTTCAGGACAATAATTTCTGTATTTTTGGGGATAATTTCTCTATTTTGGGGACAATAATTTCTGCATTTTCGGGGATAATTTCTGTATTTTCGGGACAATGACCTCTCCCACTCCGGGGACGATCGCCTCTCCATTTTGGGGATAATTTCTCTATTTTTGGGACAATAATTTCTGTATTTTCGGGGATAATTTCTGCATTTTCGGGACAATAATTTCTGCATTTTCGGGGATAATTTCTCTATTTTTGGGACACTAATTTCTCCATTTTCGGGGATAATTTCTCCATTTTCGGGGATAATTTCTCCATTTTCGGGACACTAACCTCTCCATTTTCGGGGATAATTTCTGTAA